TTAAATGTTAGCCCTCACTGTCCAGCTGGTTCAGTGTCTTTCTACCAAGTGTCTCCTGACAGCCTGGACATCCGTCCAGACGGGAATTGGGAGGGGGGAGGGTAGATAGAGACGCAGATTTGTGCAAATCCACCTTCCTGGGAGATTTCTGAGTGATGCCCTCCTAGTTTGAGTTTATGCCCTTGTTTACTTTCCTGATAGCCAGGTCACCCCACATCCATTGAAAGGCCTCCACCTGCCTTTCCCACCTTATGTGACCTGATTCCCTGCCCCCATTCCTTGTTGCCCCCAAACTGACCTAGTTGCTGGGTTTCTAGCCTATGTGCCTTTGTAGAGACAGCGTCCCCTGCGTGTCATGCATGCCTTTTCCACCTCTGCCTCCAGAGTGTGAAGGCACCTTGGAGGCCATCTGGTTAACAAAGGAGGGATCAGAGGCCCAGGGAAGAAAAAGTCTCACACAGAGCCATAGATTTAGAGTTCAGAAGCCAATGAGGCCAACGCTCTCATTTTAATAGTGAGGAATTGAAGGCTGGCTAGGTAGAGTGATTTGCCCAAGGTCACACATCTAGTAAGTTTTGTAGGCAGGATTTGAACCCAGGTCTCCCTGACTCCAGAGCCAGGTCTTGCCTCAGCTTCTTTCAAGGCCCAGCTTGGGCTGCCTTCTACAAAAACCTTTTCTGGTCCCCCGGTTATGGGTGTTTCCTCTCTCCTCAATTAGCTTGTACAGTATTTGCTTTTCAGGTTAGATGCTGTTCCTCTTGGTAGAATTTAAACTCCTTGAGGGCAGGCGCTGTTCACTTTGTCTTTAGCCCTGGCTCAGTGCCTTGAGCAGAGTAGGCCAGTTGATGCTAATAACTGAAGTGAGGAAGGAAGGAGAGAGGGAAGAAGGAAGAAAGGAAAGAAGGAAGGAAGGAAGGATGGAAGGAAAGAGGGAAGGAGGGAGGGAGGAAGGAAGGAGGGAAGAAGGAAGGAAGGGAGGGAGGGAGGAAGAAAGGAAGGAAGGAAGAAGGAAGGATGGAAGGAAAGAGGGAAGGAGGGAGGGAAGGAGGGAGGGAGGAAGGAAGGGAGGGAGGAAGGAAGGAAGGAAGGAAGGAAGGAGGGAAGGAGGGAGGGAGGAAGGAAGGAAAGAAGGAATCTTACTTTACCAACAGTGTTGATTAAACACTTCAGTTGACTTCAAATTTACTCTTATTTCCACTGAGTGATGATTCATTTCTTGGAGCATATGTCCGATGTGGCACAGGTGAAAGACATCCTAGGGAATCTTCTATTGATCTTTGAGTTGAACTTTGGGTCATGCCAAGTGCCCAAGCTGAGATAGCTGCGCTTTCAAAATGCTCCTCATTTGGGAGCCGATGATCCAGTTTCATGATCGAGTTTCTCTGCTCCTCCTGCTTGTTGCTTAACCGTTTATCCATTTCATGAACAACTTCCTAGGCCAATGGAGCTTTTGTTTGTCCTGTTGGGGACGGACTGGGAGGACTTGTTATTTCTGCTAAAAGGCTCATCTTGTTTGGAAGGTGGGAACAGCTGACCCAAGTGAGTTCTTTAGTGAGAAGTGCGTTTGCCTGTGACCCTCCAGTCCAGCCAAGAGTTGGATTTAATTAGACCAGAGAACTTGAGACCTGAAATATCTCCAAATTCCACTCCAAACCTTTCTTTTTCTCTCATTGTTCGCTTCATGCTTTCATATGTACAGACACAAGTGTCCTACTCATTTGAGGTCCATTTATTTCTGGTGGTGGGCAAAGAAACCACTACATTCAAGAAGTACTTAAAACCTTTCCTCCCTCCCTCCTTTCCTTCCTCCCTCCCTTCCTTCTATCCTTCCTTCCTCCCTTCCTTTCTTCCTCCCTTCCTCCCTCCCTTCCTTTCTTCCTCCCTCCTTCCCTTCCTTCCTTCTATCCTTCCTTCCTCCCTTCCCCCCTCCCTCCCTTCCTTTCTTCCTCCCTTCCTCACTTCAGTTATTAAGAATACATTCCATATCCTGCTCCCCCACAGAGAGCATTTGGGGATCTTCATAGCTGATCTCACCTGTGTGTTTTTTGCCTAATTCATCCACAGGCAGAAGGTAACTGGTGGCACGGTGGATTGATCACTAGGCCCACACTCAGAAAGACCTGAATTCAAATCTGGCCTCAGACACTTACTAGCTGTGTGACTCTGGGTAAGTCACTTCACCCTGTTTGCCTCAGTTCCCTCATCTGTAAAATGAGCTGGAGAAAGAAATGGCAAACCACTCAATATCTCTGCCAAGAAAACCCCAAATGGGGTCACGGAGAGTCGTACACGACTGAAAACAACCAAACAACAACAAAATAGGGATAGCAACAACACTGACTTCCCAGGGCTTGTTGTAAGGATCACATGAGATAATACTGTAAAGTGTTTAGCACAGTGCCTAGCACCAGTAGGCATTCTATAAATGCTAGTGGTGATGATGACGATGATGATAGATATTCCAACGTGGGCAAGCAGTGCTTTCTCTGTTTGTATCTTTTTGTCTGGTTTCATCAATCTGAATGGCTCCTTGTAGATGATAAAGACCAACCAGGACTGAATCCACAAATACCAGGAATGCAGTAAGTAGGAGGGTCTCAGCCCAGCTGGGGACCAGGTGCTCTTTGGATTGGTGAGGGCCTTCTGGTTGTTGTAGTCACTCATGAAATGCTCTTTTCTCAAGCCTCAGAGCAGGTATGAAGCAAACAAGAGTCTTCTCTTCATTTAGCAGCCTTCATTTATTCATTAGCTGAAATTAATCCTTCAAAAACAACAACCTTCAAGCTCTCAGACTCTTCTACCACCAGTAGCCTCTGCTTGAAGCCTCCCAGGAGCGGAAGTGAGCTCACTTCCTTCTGGTACAGCCAGTTCCCCTTTTCTTTTTTCTTTTTTTCTTTTTGCTAGGCAGTCAGAGTTAAGTGACTTGCCCAGGGTCACACAGCTAGTAAGTGTCATGTGTTGTGTGTCTGAGACCGGATTTGAACTCAGGTCCTCCTGCCTCTAAGGCTGGAGCTCTATCCACTGTGCCACCTTGCTGCCCCTCGGGTCCCCTTTTCAACAAGTCTACTTGAGAGGCACCATTTCCCTTCCACCAGGCCCATATTTGCCTCTTTGTAACTTCTCACAGCTCCTCTTTCTTCCCTTTGAAGTGTTTAGGAGAACAAATCTAATCTCTCCGCCCATGCCCCAAATGCCTGATTGACAGCTGTCATGTTCCCTGGATTGTTTGCTTCTCCACCTGGGCCTAACATCCCTCAGGTCCTTTCATCTTACTTCATGTGGCCTTTATAATCTGGAGGCCTTCCACCATCCCGGGGTGTCTGCATCTTCATATCAATGGCCTTCCCACAGTGTCATGCCAGAAGTGAACAGAACCTTTCGATGTCTCCCCAGGTCAGAGGACCATCAGACTGCCCTGGAGACTGTCTTTCTTGATACAAGCAAAAATCACATTAACTTTCTTGGCTGCTGTATGATACTTGTTATTCCATATTGTAGTCCACTCAGAACCCCAGATTGTTTTCAAATAAACTGCTATGGGGCCACTCTTCCCCATTCCTCATCTTCTACTTCTCCAGTTCTAAACTCAAGCATAACAATTTTCAATTATCTCCATTTGATCATTTTACTGTGGATTTGGCCCAATGTTCTAGAATGTCCGAATGTTTAGATCCTAACTTTCATCCAGCGTGTTAGCTGGCCTTCCTAGCTTTATAATCACCTGCAAATCTGATAAATGTGCCATCTTACGCTTTATCTAATTCAACGATTTAAAAAAAAAAAAAAGTTGCCAAACAGATCCCTGAGGCATCTCATTAGAGACTTCCTTCCAGCTTCTCTGTGAATAACCACTATTTTTGTGTGGCCATCCCGGCATATTTATCTCTTCCATTGTTTTTACTTCCTGTTCTTGAAAACAACTACGTGGACTTGGCCAAATTCTGAAATTGTCACAAGCTCTACCTACAGTTTTCCCTTGATTGGACCATTCTGGTTCACCTTGTCAAAAAAGGAAATGGGGTTACTTTGGTGTGACCTGTTCTTCATGAGTGTTCTTGATAAGTTTGCTTGGTGTGTCCTGTATCTTCTCAACCCCCTCAGAGGAGACAGAACCACTTTTTTTTTCTTTTTTTGGTGAGGCAGTCGGGGTTAAGTGACTTGCGCAGGGTCACACAGCTAGTGTCAAGTGTCTGAGGTCAGATTTGAACTCAGGTCCTCCTGACTCCAAGACCAGAGCTCTATCCACTGTGCCACTCGATGCCCGAAGAACCACTTTCTTTGGAGATCCTATTACTGGGATTCCTTAAACTCCTTAAGAGTTAAGTGTTTTCCTGTTACAGGGAATTGCTAATCCCATAGAATTTTGCCCATACTGATCTGAAGTTTCTGCTTGCTGGTGAGCTAATTCTACCAGGTGCCTTTAATTAGGCCAGTTTCCTGCTCTCCTTCTTAAAGTAGCTATTTATACTGAAACCTATTTTCCTGAGTGAAAATGCAACATTTGACGTTAAACTTGAAGCTCTGTTTGCAAAGATGTGGATCCTCAAAAACAAGGCCAGTGCTTGTAGTTCTCATGTAGGGGGATGTGGATGCAAAGAGAGCTGCCTGCTTGCTCCAGACGCCACGTCCACATAGCCAGTCCTCTGCTGTCGTATCTGTTGTCTGCAGTCTGGCGCTGTTGGCCACTCTCCTCAGTCTGTCATGGATGTTTGTATCAGAGGCCCCTCCATTGTTTGCTGCTTCTCCTTTATAGCTACAGCTAGCCATGCCATGGAAATTGTTCTTCATTGTGCAGAGATGTTTCTTCTTCTACCTATAAGATTTTCTGAAGGAGCTCGGTGCTGCTTCTAATGGATGGAGTACCGGATTTGGAGTCAAGAAACCAGAGTTCAGATCCTATATTGGATTTGACCTATATTAGCTGTGTGACCCTGGGCAAGTCACTTGACCAGTGTTGCCTTAGTTTTTGCATCTCTAAAATGGAGATAATAATAGCGTCTACCTCCCAAGGTCATTGTGAGGATAAAGTGAGATGAGGCATAGAAGGTGGTTTGAAAACCTTAAAGAGTTCTAGAAATGGTAGCTATCACTGCTTTATTGTTGTGCCACGTCATCTTCTCATGTGATTGCTACTTGTCTCTCATGCAGTTATTCCAGCCCATCCAGGAGGCTGGGCCACAGGCAGCAAATTTTTCTCCAGATCTGGAAGTGATCTGATTGGAGGAGGAGCAGTTGAAGGACTGGGAGTGTTCAGCCTGGACAACAGAAGGGGAAGGGGGAGGGATGAATTGGTACCTTTCAATATTTGAAGGACCTCCATGTTGCAGGAGGTCTTTCCAAGTACATCAGCTTCTAGAACTTTCCCACCTCCTCCAGCCCCACCAAGGTTCCCTTCTATGTCCTCTGTATATATCCTGTGTGTACTTGGGTAGTTACACACTGCTTCCCCCATTAAAATAGGAGCTCCTTGAGGGCAGGGGCTGTTTTCTTTTTCTCTTTGCATCACTTACACCAAGCACAGTGCCTGCCACATAACACAATAAATGCTTGTTAAATGATTTACTAACATTTAGAAGGGACCTTCCCCCCCCTTTTGGGGGGGGCTTTCATTGAGGCAATGGGGTTAATTGACCTGCCCAGGGTCACACATCTAGTAAGTGTCAAGTGTCTGAGGCTGGATTTGAACTCGGGTCCTCCTGACTCCAAGGCCGGAGCTTTATCCACTGCACCATCTAGCTGCTTCCTCCCCTTTTTTTTTCCTTTTCCCCTTTTTAAAGTGACTTTTGTTTTCATATAATAGTAATGACAGCTAGGTGGCACCACAGTGCACAGAGTTCTGGGACTAGAGTCAGGAAGACTCCTGAGTTCAAATCCAGCCTCAGACACCTACTAGCCGTGTGACCCTGGGCATATCACTTAACCCCGTTTGCCTCGGTTTCCTCATCTGTAAAATGAGCTGGAGAGGGAAATGATCAACCGTTGCAGTATCTCTGCCAAGAACACCCCAAATGGAGTCATGGAGAGTCAGACATGACTCAAAACCAGTTGAATATAATAACTAATTTCTGGATATACCATTCTCTCTTCTCTCTTCTCCCTTCTCCCTTCCCCCATTGAGCCTTCTCTTATAATTAATAAAAACAATTAAGCAAAAACGGCTGATGCAATGTTATGATCTGACAATGCAGGCAACATTCTATCCCTATAGCCCTCTCCACCCACTTCCCCCAACCTATTCTGCATAACCAGGACCGGTTATTACGGTTGCTCAGTTTGATTTCCTTGTTAGTGGTCATTCCCTTTACACGATCGCAGCAATTGTCTAGCTCTCCTTACTTCAAGGAGGGAACCTATTCTTTGTGTAGTTTAACCTCCAAATAGGGAAGGTCTTTTTAATGGAACAGGCTAATCCTAACCACAAATTCAGGGACTGTTGGATTAAATGTAGTGGATTCCCTGTCACTGGAACTGTTGAAACAGGGACTAGACAACTCTTTGTCAGAGATGTTATAGAGCGTCATTCCATAGATAGTTAAATAGATAGACAGATGAAAGGATGGATGAATAGATATAAATAGAGCATTTATTAATTGCTTACTCTCTGCCAGGCACTAGCTAAGCACTAGGGATCCAAACAACTTGTCCCTGCCCTCAAGGAGCTTATATTCTAATTCAGGAAATCAGTGCCTAAAGGAGCTGGAAGGAGGGGTTGAGAACAGAGAAGGTTCATGGGTCTGTAGTGGTTGAACCAGATGACTTCTGTTCTGTCTCTACTTAATGATTCTCTGAGCATCCTGTCTTCTTCCTTAATGTGGTATGAGGCTGTAAGAAGGCTCTTCAGATGTATGGTTAGTAAGGCATGATCCCCAGCCTGCTGAGCTCTTTGGTTTGGGGTTCAGTGCTCTGTTGTCACCATGGTGGCTGCCACCTTCCCAAAGGACGATCCTAGCATCCTTAATTCAGTGTTCCCACTGTGCTCCTTAGAGAACAGAATTCAGTGAAAGCCAGAGGGCTCCATCAGCAACCCAGCGATGAAAGCTTCCTAGGACCCAGTGATCAGTGCCTTCAGCCTTCTCTTGGCTTCTCCTCAGTCCATTACATGGTCTTGGCTTTGTAAGCTGGGTCATGGTCATTGGCAGGCCTTTCAGATCACAGTCTGATGCCGTTAATGATTCAGGGAGTCATTTAAGGATGCTCCATCCCCATCGTTATTAATGTAACATTTCTCACTGCAGAATAAAACATTTACTTAAATTTCATGAAGTTCATGAAACTGCAGGTAGATGTTTGATAAATATTTAAAGCGAGAGAAAGAGATAATCTGGTAGAAAACTCCTAGAATCTGCCCTTATTGGCTGGTAGAGATTCTGCTCCTCATTCACATATGTCCTATTTAAACATATTTTTAAATTGTTGTTGAAATGGAAAGCACTGTCAGAACCTGGATTCAGATCCCAGGTCAGGGTCAGGCATGGTGGACATGCTCCTACTCCCTGGGATTAGGGAAGCCACGCTGACCAATGTCTTGAGAGGGGACATGGGGCATTACCCTTTTCCTCGGACTAAAGCCAAACAAGCGTTGGCACTGTCTGGCACCCATAGGATGAACTTCTAGGAACTGGGGACCCTCAGTCCCCCTAATGAGGGGTGAACTGGCCCAGCCTGAAAATGGAGTATTTCAAAGCTTCCATACAGAAGAGCATTGGCATTGGACTAGGATTAGGAAAGTGCATCAGGATTAGGAAGGTCTGTGGCACTTCCAGTTGGGTGGACCTGGGGGTAGATGGCAGGGGCAGGGAACCTAGTCTCAGAAAAAAAAGGTAATAAATCCCAGGTCTGCTACTTTGTGACTTTAGGGGAGGAGAGGAGCAGATGAATGGAAACATGGTCCTGCCTCTGGTCAAAGGCAGGGATTCATTGCTGGCTGGTTTGAAAGGGCAGGGTTTCCTTTTTTTTTTTTTGGTCTTTGAACCCCTTTGCCCAGTGCCTTGCACAGAATGGAATTCTGGCCAGGGACTGAGACTAGCTTTTGGGCAGAGCTGACCATTAGTCAGTACATATTGTAATGGAGCCTCACTCAGAGAAGATTTCTTAGATTTTTTGAAATGGTGGTTTGTGGTCACAAATAACAAAGGAAAAAGTGAAGCATAGTCAGAGGCCAGTAAGAGAAGCCAGAATATTTCAGTCATCAAAATAGCTTTCACTTATTTTATCACAGAATTACAAAAGAGGATGGCATTAGGGTATGAAGGGGTGCCCCTGCCTTCCCTAGGCACTAGCCATGGTCATTTGTTATGAGTCACTGAACATCCTCAGACCTTAGTTCCCTGTTACCTGTACAAAGGCAGGACCCAGGTGATCTCAAGGTCCTTTCTACCTCAGAGGTCTGTGTTCAGATGAAAGAGAAAAATGGTATTTCTTCGATGTTCAGCCTGATGCATGGGGTGGGACCTTTTTCCCTATAACTACCTTGTAGTATGCTTTTTTGTGTTACACATGTAATATATATACAGTTGAGATTATAGAATCCTCGATCTGCTCCTGCAAGGGACTCAGAGGCCTCATTTTACCGATATGGAAACTGAGGCCCAAAGAATTTCAGTGACTTTCCCAAGGCCACAAGGGCAGTACAGGACACAGGTGAGATTCAAGCTCAGGCAGCAGGCTGTGGGTCTGGAGCTGGAAAGGACCTCAGAAGCATCTATAGGTCATTCCCTTCACTTTACAGATGAGGAAACTGAGGCCTAGAAATGACTTTTTAGAGGCAGCTAGGTGGTGCAGTGGATAGAGCTCTGGCCTTGGAGTCAGGAGGACCTGAGTTCAAATCTGGCCTCAGACACATGATGCTCACTAGCTGTGTGACCCTGGGCAAGTCACTTAACCCCAACTGCCTCACCCCCCAAAAAATAAAAATAACTTTTTATAAGGTCACATAGGTAGTAAGGTCAAGGGCGAAATTTGAACCCTTCCAGACCTAGGGCCCTTTCCACTATACCTTGTTGCTCTACTTAGGGACCGTCGCTGTATTTTACTTGTCTGCTTTCTTTTTTCTACCCCTCTCCCCAAAGTAGAATATACCCTGCTTGAGGACAGGGACTACCCTTAAAAAAAAAAATCTTTACATGCCCGGGGCCCTGCTTAACTAATGCTGAACAGTACAAATAGTACAACAGGATCCTCTTTACCTGAACACACTTCCCTGAAGTGTCCAGCAGGGGGCAGGCCTGGAGCAAACATCCCCACCACGCGCTCCTGACTGACCCCTCCCTGGCCAGTCATCCCATCATCCCATCATCCCGTCAGTAATAAGCAGAACCAGGCTCTTTCCAAGTGGATTCTTGAAATGCGAAGCTCATTTCTTTGAAGCTCACTTGCCTTTGACTTTGGGATGTTCAAGAGATGGCCGAGAACATTCTCCCTCCCTAGGGAGGAAGGCTGGAGCCTGGGCGGGCGCATCTCCTTAAACCGCCTTGTGCATGCAGGCCAAGGACTAAATACATGAGAAATAATAACAACATCGACTCTAATGGCATTGACGAGCGCTTTATATGTGGCATCCCATTGGATTAGAAGACATCTTCCTGAATTCAATCCAGCCTCAGACACTATCTGGGTCTATGACCCTGGGCAAGCCACTTCACCCTGTTTGCCTCAGTTTCCTCATCTGTAAAATGAGCTGGAGAAGGAAATGGCAAACTGCTCCAGTATCTCTGCCAAGAAAACCCCGAAGGGGGTGATGGAGATTCAGACACACCTGAAGTGACCGAACAACCGCCAACCCCCCCTTGGGCCCCCCCAAAGAGGGGGGGGGGGGGGTGCTCTGGTTATTATTCCCATTTTACAGATGGGGAAATGGATTTGCAGGGGCCATAAGTTAGTTAAGTGTCTGAGGCAGAATATGCCCTGAGGCATTTCTGACTCACATTAAGGATTATATAAATGTTTGCCGTTACCATTGTTATTATTATTTCCTGGTCCCTCCCACTGCCAGTGGCCCCCATCAGAGATCACCTTCATTTACCCAGCATGTTTTGTACACTTGTAATTACGTACATGCTGTCTCCACCAGTTAGAATGTAAGCTCCTTGAGGGCAAGGACTGGGTTTTTGCCTTTCTTTGCATGGCCAGCCCCGAGTAAATGATTGTTGATTGACTTCCCGGGAAGGAGCTCTCTGCTGCCAGGAATTCCCAAAGAAAATGGAAAGTGAGGCAAGCAGGTGAACACAGATGTACAGATGGGTGTGAATCCTGCCCTGCAGAGTGAAGTTAGCAGAATCAGAAGGTCACACTCACTATACGCATTGATGATTGTCATGGAACCCTGTGGAAGAACCTGATCCATTGTTATGAACATCTTTGGCCCCACAGGTCAGATGATGAAGCATTTTCTCCTCCTCTGGGGGGATGGAAGGGAGGGCAAGGGAAGGGCAGGGTGGGGCTACTGATGGGAAATGGTGCATACCTCTTCTCTCTGTTGCAATGAAGTGTGAACAGGAGACACCTGCAGGGCTGACCTTCCTGCTTCTGGCTGACCACATGTACTTGAGGGAAGTGGGGGGGGGGCTACTGGCCCCCAGCTGCTTGTAGCATTGAAAGACTCTGTGTTTTGGTATGTTCAAGGGACAACTAGGTGGCACAGTGGATAGAGTGCCAGTCCTGGAGTCAGGGTGACCTGAGCTCAAATCTAGCCTCGGATACTTACTAGTAGCTGTGTGACCCTGGGCAAGTCACTTCACCCTGTTTGCCTCAGTTTCCTCATCTATAAAATGAACTGGAGAAGGAAATGACCAACCACTCTAGCATCTCTGCCAAGAAAACCCCAGATGGGGTCGCAGAGAATCAGACGCAAATGAAACGGTTCAACAATGATAACAAGCCAACTTCAGGCAGTTCCTGGGTCTGTCCCCACCCAGCTCAGCTCTGGAACAAGCGCAGGTGAAGCTGTCCCTGATCAGCTAGGTTAGAAGGGACAGAGACGTGAGGTCTTGACCCCCGCTCCCCTATTCAGCAGCTTTCCACTGGACCGTACTGCCTGACAAGAGCTCTCTGGGCTATTTTTGTGAAATTATTGAATGTTCTTATTTTCAGTTTGTGAGTATTACTGAGTCCAGTTCCAGTCTCTTCTTCTGTGTCTTAATTTAGCCAACAGGCAATTAGTAAATGCAGACCTGGGGTCAAACGCTTACTTGCTGCGTGATGTGGAGTAAATCACTTAACTCTTTCTGTTTCAGTTTCTTCATCTGTAAAATGGGGATAACAACAGCATCTACCACCCAGGGTTGTTATGTTAAAATGAGATGTTTGTAAAGCATATTTCAAATCTTAAAACTGTCTTGTATAAAAAGTTCAAGAAATATAGTTTCTGTATCATTAATCATTTTATTAATCATGCTAGCTGATAATTAATAAAAGGGGTCAGTGGCACTCTTGAATGCCAAAGACCCCTCATGGAAACCACTCAATGCTTATATGCCCTTGGAAGAGTGGGTGTACTTGAGGGTGGCGACCAACTCTGATTGGTTAACAAGTAATGAGAGGATGAATATTATAATGAGAGGTGGGCTTATTCTAATGAGGGTCTGGGGGATGTAACTCTGATCACTCAGTCTTGGTCAAAGACTTATTTGATGGCCTATACCACCCCATCTAGGATAATCTAGACAAAAGGGGGAATCCACTTCTACCCAGAACCGACTGACTAGAACACAACCGGCCAGAATGGATCAGTTCATCTAAACCAGAATTTCTTTACCTTTTGATCAGATCCGAGTTTTCCAATTGGATTAGTTTTGCCCAAGATTTCATCTCATTATGAGCCTTGCACTAAAGAGGCTGCCTGAAGATCCCACAGGGACTGATTTCTAAATAAGGAAAAGGAAGGGGGAAAACCTTAGTCCTAATTCAGTGATAGGCTATTCATATAGAAGCGAAATAATAATTTCCCTCAAAGCTCTATGTAAATGCTTGTTATTACTATTATTATTATCATTATTATTCCTACATTAAAAGCCCTGTGTGAGATAAAGGAGAGACAAAGAAAGGCACAAACAGACCCTGCGGGCTTCCATTCTAATCCAGAAGACAGTTGTTGTTCAGTCATTTCTTTAGTTATGTCTGACTCTCTGAGACCCCATGTGTGGTTTTCTTGGCAGAGCTACTGGAATGGTTTGCCAATTCTTTCTCCACCCCATTTGACAGATGAGGAAACTGAAGCAAACAGGATGAAGTGACTTGTCCAGGGTCACACAGCTACTAAGTGTCTGAAACCAAATTTGAACTCAGGAAGATATGTCTTCCTGACTCCAGACCCGGTGCTCTGTGTACTGTGCTGCCCCCTAGCTGCCCACTGAGAAGACAACCTGTACGTAAGTGGGTATTTAATAAATACGCACAGAAGATATGTAGGGAACCTTAAGAGAAAGGGAAGGCTCTGGCACCTGGGGGTGAAGGCAGGGAGAGGGAGCCCTGAAAATGCCTCCTGTAGGTGGTGACCTTTGAGCTGTGTCTAAATGGACACCAAGTGGCAGAAGGGAGGAAGGAGAGCATTCCAGGCTTGGGGCACAGCTAGTGCAAAGGCTTGGAGATGGGAGACGTCACCTTTACCTTTGCTGGTGTGGTTGTTCCCAGTTGGAGTCCAGGAGGTATCCAGAAGGTGAACGTAGGATAAGCTCTGTCTTTTTTTTTTCTTAACTACCAGCACCTGGATGAGGGACAACATTAGAAGGAAGAAGACAAAAGCTGTTACTGTACTCTTCACCTCCCTCACCATCGCTTTTGCCAGAAAATATAGAATATTCCACTAAGAGTTAGAGGGCCTGTTTTATGCTCAGGCTTAAATGGGCTGTGGAAAGTTGGGCACACTGATACATTATTGGTGGAGCTGTTCTGGAAAGCAGTTTGGAATTTATCTAAAGAAAGCGGCCAAAACATCCATCCCCTTTGACCCAGAGAGTTCACTGCTAGGCATGTATTCCAAGGAGGTCAGTAATAAAAAGAAAGTCCCCAGAGATGCCTGTTGTTGGAGGATTTGATGGACAAGTTGCGGTGCATGGATGTCATAGTATATTACTGCCCTGGAATATATGATGATTACAAAGAAGCCTGGGAAAATTTACATGAACCCATGCAGAGGGAAGTCAGCAGACCCAGGAAAACAATATCCACTGTGGCCACAACAATGTTGATGGAAAGAACAGCCAGAAGCTAAAAGAAAAAACCCACTGAAGCTGGGTGCTTTACAACGGTGCAAGAGGAGGCATGAGAAGGCACCTTTCCCCCATTCTTTGCAGTTGTGGGTGACTATGACTATGGACCACTGCACACGCTGTCGGGCTCAATTGATCCTAGTTAGTTTTGTTGAATTGGGGGTTTGGGGGTTGTTTTTACTTTTGTTTAGAGTTTTCTTCCTGGACAGAAGAGGGTAGGGATTGGACATTTTGGGTGACATAAAAACAAAATATATCTGTAAATTTGTAGTATTTTTTTTTCTAAGAGGGAACAGATACATGTTAGGGGAGGCAGGATTCTAGAAGCTGATTTGAAGAGGATACTGATTCCTCTTCCCTCTTCCCCTCCTTTCTGTCACCTGCCTCCCAGCACCTCTTTTTGGTGGGGTGGGAGGTGGGGCTGCAGCTCCAGCCCCCGAGTCATGCTAGGTAGTAGACTTTTCAGGGGAGCCCACCCTGTGCATTATCTAACCCCAGCTGACCTAAGGTGTCTCTTGAGGGCTGACCTCAAGAACAGGCCTCCTCTCCTGTGCCGGAAATTCCTTTTAGAAGGACCGAAGGCTCTCAAGTCTCAGAAGTAAATAAATGCAATTGAGAACATGTTTGTAATTCATTCGTACTAAAAGTGTACTCAATTAGTAAGCCTAAGTGAATGACATTTGAGCCTTCTAGGTTTGACTGGGGAAAGGGCCTGAGGAGAACAGAAAGTTCTTAGTTTAAAGATGGCTAAAGGAGAGAAATAAGTCATCAGAGAAGAAAATGAGGAGGAGGAGGAGAGGCTGGGAAGAGGGGGAGACAAATGCTAAAGACTAAACAAAGTCATCTGAGGTCCTGCTTGCCTTCTACATTGTAACACAGGGTGCCAACCCATAGCTCCTGACAACCTATGAAGCCAGATTAAAATGTAATTGGGGAATACTTAACAAGATAAATAAAAATACACTAAAACCTAGATAACACTACATTATAAGATTAAGGCAATTTGCAGCCCTCAGGGATCTCTCTGTATGGATTAGCGGACCCCATTTCTATTTGGGGACACTTCAAAATTCAAGAACTTTGGTCATGGGGCTACCAGGTCTGCCAGCTCATCTTTGCAGGATTTGTGAAAATAAAAATGGTTTTAACAGTCAGCTGAGTGTCAAGGACCATTGGGTGATTTATTAATCAAGGGGTCACTGTATTGTAGCTTTTAATGTGGTATGGAGAAAGAGCACCAGATTTCCAGATCCTCTGCATTAAAAGGGACCTCACTGATCGTACCTGGAAAAGAATACCTGGCATTGTACGGCGGACACGACTCACCCAGTGTCTGCTTCTTCAGTGCCTCCAGGGGGATGAGCTGCTGCTTTGGAGGTGACTCTTCTACCTCAGGACCGCCTCATTCGGGAAATTTTCCTGACTCAGAGCCTAAATTGACCCCATCCCCCATTGCCTTTGGTTGTACCCTATGGAGAAGACAGAAGATGTCTGCTCCCTCTTGCACAGGACAGCCTTCTGAATACGTCAGAGACAGCTAGCAGGTGGCCAGAGTCTTCTCTGGGCATTTCAATGAGCCTTATTCCCTTCAGCAAATCCTCTTGTGGTGTGGACTTGAGGTTCAGCGCCTTTCTAATCACCCTCCTCCAGATGCAGCCCAATTTATCCATGCCCTTCCTGATCTCTGGGGCCTAGCACTGAACACGATGCTCCCAATGTGGTCTAATGAGGCCAGGGTACAGTGAGACTCTCACATGCTGTGCCTCTAAAGAAAGCCCGAGATCACCAATTTTTTGTATCACACTGTTGCCTCATATTGAACTTGCAGTCCACTAAAACTTGCAAATCCTCTCTAAGACAAACTGTTAGCCATTCTTCCCCTATGCTGAATGACTGGAATTGATTTCTTGAACCCTAGTGTAAGACTTTTTTCATGTCTATTAAATTTCTTCTTGTTAGATTCAGTCCTGTAGATTGTTGAGATTTTTTTTGACTGCTGCCTCTGTTATCCAGTGTGTTAACTTTCCCTCCCAGCCTGATGTCATCTGCAGATGTGATAGATGTGATAAGCATGCCATCCACGCCTTTTTCCAAGCCCTTGATAACAACATTAGATAGTGCAGAGCCCAGCGGAGATCCCCGGGGCGCACACTGGAGCCTCTCCAAGTTGACATCAAACCTTTAATGAGTCTGGCTGTTCAACTAGTTTCAAATCCATCTAATTGTCTTATTGTCTAGCCCACACCACTCCATCTTTTCCACAAGAATAGCATGAGATACTATCTTAGCTGGGTTACTAAAATCTAGGTGAACTGTATCTATGACGTTCCCCTGATCTACCCATGAGTAACCCTGTTCAAAAGGGAAATAACGTTAGTCTGGTATGACCTGTTTTTACTGAGGTCTTGCTGATCTATTGCAATCATTGCTTCCTTTTCTAAACATTCACTAGCCATCCCTTTAATAATATTATCTACAATTTGATTCTTGGGGAGATAGTGAAGGACAGAAGGGCCTGGCATGCGATGGTCCACAGGGCCTCAAAGAACTGGACACAACGGGAGGACTGAACAATACCCGAAGAATTTGACGAGGAGTCTAAGTCAAACTCACAGGCCTAGAGTTTACCAATTCCCCACTCTCCTCTTTTATTGAAAAGTAAGACACCCCTTTGCCTGCATCATAAAAGCCCTGGGAGTCATTTGAAAGGGCTTTTGTTCATTTGTTCTGAAGTGTGTGGGCGCACAATTTTAGCATCAGCATAGCTTTGTGTGTCTTGGCTCCTCCTGTGGGCATGCCCGAGACAGGTATACAGGGGCACCAGAAGCGTGAATGTGGAGGAACCATCTGCTGTCTGATTTTGCTGTATCATTTGGGTGAGAGGGGTGGCAGGAGGGTAGAGTTCTTCACTCCTGGTGTGAGCTTTCTCTGCTCAAGAACATGTGTAAATTAGCAGCCATGTGAATAAACAAGTCAACAAAATAAAAGACACAAGAAAAAATGCAATAGTTGTGTTGTTGGGTTTTTTTTTTTAATGAGTACTCTACTTGGAGGCTAAACCCAAAGCTAATTACGATCATTTTTCTTTTTCCATGATGAACCAAGAGACTTTTGGAAAGGTAGTATGTCAGGCTTGTAACATTTTTCTTAACTAATATCCATGTATTTTTTGGAGGATTTCCTAGCTCTTCCCATACTTAGAGTCTATTGGCCAATTTTTTTAGCAAGAATACTCACCGTCTATCCCATCTGTAGAGACGAAAGGCCATCCTACCAACCCCAATTGCTTCTTTTGGGAATAGTCCCAAAATAAGGTGGTGCCCTCTGTCATTGGTACAGGATAAAGGGATGGTGTGGTGCAATGGAGAGGGGCTGGGGAGTCCATGCTCTATGTGATCCTAATCATCGGTGCAGGCAAAATGAAACGGGATGATGTTGAAACTTAATTTCTGTGGTGTCTGTTTTCTGAAGACCACACCCTGACTTCCTGTTTCGTTCTCCGCTGGTGTTGCACAAACAAAAGAATAAATTCAGTACTGAAGCACATGCACACAGAGTCCATGTTCAAGTACCTTTACCATGAATTCTTGGGACAGTCAATGTGACTGCTTTAATCAATGCTGATAGTAACTTGTATTTAATCATTATTTCATATCTGAGCCTAGGCCAGGAGCTGGCAAGCTCTGAAACAGGGATCCTGGCACTGACAGGGGGCATGGGTGGCAGCCTCCCAGGCAGTCCATCACTAAGAATTTGTTGTTGTTAGGTCATTTTTCAGTCGTGTCCAACTCTCCTTGACCCCATTTAGGGTTTTCATGGCAAAGCTACTACAGTGTTTTGCCATTTCCTTCTCCAGCTCATCTTACAGATGAGGGAACTGAGGCAAACATGGTGAAGTCGCTTGCCCAGGGTCACAGAGCTAGTAAGTGTCTGAGGCCAGATTTGAATTCAGAAAGGTTAAGTCTTCCTGACTCCAGGCCTGGCATTCTATCCACTGTGCCACCTAGCTGCCCATATGAATTTATTTAATGCCTACTATGTGCCGTGATAAGTGCTGTCCTCACCCATCTCTCTTTCTTTTCTCTCTCTATCCCTGCCTCTGTCTCTCTCTGCCTCTGTCTCTCTGTCTCTCTCTTCTCTTCCCTTCTCTCTCTCTTTTCTCCTC